AATAATAAGTATATATATATATATATATATATCTGTACATATATTATCAACATGATGAATTATTTTCATCATTTTTGTCATTTTTGTTTAAAAAAAATTAAATTACGCTTTTTAAAATTGTTGGACGCATATAGACGCATGCTATATATATTTAATTTGGATGATTTTTTAAAATCATCTTTTTCGAATTATGATAATTTCGTCAATTTGTATGAGATTAGTTCACTTTTTTTGTTGATAGAATAAAAAGAAATGTTTACTTGACTCATTCATAATACAGTAATAATTCGAAAATCATGCTTTCTACTCTCTAAATTCTAAATTTCTTGGAATGAAATCTTATTCCAAAAGAGTTAAAATACTGCCACTATTGAAAGGCTAAAGAATTTGCACTCTTCAATAATAGTGGCAAATGTACACTCCTTTTTGGAAAGATTAGAGATTTTACTCATTTTACTCCAAAAAATTTATAGAATAAGTTACGCTATTTTTCAAGAAATAGAAATTAAAAAAAAGCATTGCGGTTTTTTTACAAAATTTCGCTATATAAGTACACCGACTTTTTATATAAAGCCGTTTTAAAAACTAAATACAATTCGCTCAACGTGCACAAGCATAAAGTTTAGGATCATTTTTTGAATGGGTCAAACAAAAAAATTACTCCCTTTGCTTAAAGTTTCTACAAGATCCACTTTAAACGTGTGACAATCCAAACTGTTGGTCTGTCATACATATCGCAGATGCTTAAAAGCTCAGAAATTTTGCGTTTTTCCTCTGATTTTAATTCTCATAAACTCTATGAGAAGCAAGAGAGATAATACTCACCCGTCTATCGTTGGTCATGTCTGATCAGGATCTGGTGTCCAGGACAGCTGGTGTTCGACGAGTACACGTGCGCGGTGAGTCAATTGTCGCCAGTGCACAACGAGGATGCGGTAATCGACAAGCCGGGACCCATGCATGTGCAGGTGATTGGAGAAACAAAGAGAGAGAGAGAGAGAGAGAGAGAGAGAGAGAGGGGGGGGGGAGAGAAAGAGAAAGTAAGGGAGAAAAACAAGAGAGAAAAAGAGTCACTGATGTGGATAATATTGTAATCAACTATACGAGTCGTTCTCTCACGCCGCGCTTACTAGAAGAAACAAAGGAAAATGAGACAGGTGTCTAATTAACAAACAACTCATAAAATTATAGAGAATAAGCTTGCGCGGCGCGTTAAAGCGCGGTCACAATTTCGATGGAACTAAAGTATCTAATAAACTTGGGCTAAGGGAGGGAATGTGATGAGGATTGAATTAATTCGCGTAATTAGACGTTACAGACTCGGGCCGAGTTATCACAATGATCGCATTGTTACCGAGACAATGATGATCCTGCTAACGAGATCTTCTCTCTTTTCTGAGTGTAACAATCACTTTCCCTCCAATTTTGAATGATTATAGATAATATTTTCCATCGAAGAGAACGCGGTTCAACGCGGAAAAAGTCTTGAAGGCCGTTCGCCCAAACATCAACTGCTCCAAATGTTAAACCGTTAAATTTTCCAATTATTGCTCGTACAAGATTGGATAACTTATTTTGGCGGTGCCACACATTTTGGCAGGCATACGTGAGATAGTTTCTTTGATGATATCACGCGTGCTATATCTATATAATCTAGGCCATGTGAACTGTATCATACAACTTGGAGTTAAAACGTAGTGAAACGTTTTTGCCTCTTTTCGCAAAAACGAAAACCCTCTAATCGCCAGTTTTTTCTATTAGCATATCCTCGAGCACGGAGTCTCTATTCGGCTGCCGAAGATTGCCTTTTCTTTTGATTTGATTCACCTTCACGACCGAGGGTGTAGGTAGTATTACGTATGAAATCTCAAAGAGGTCAAGAAAAATCAGAAGTTACGTACAGATACGTGATAGTCCAGATGCAGTCTAGAGGCAATTGTGCCTCCTTTGACCAGACGTAAGATTGCTCTAATGTTTAAATTGCGATACGTACACCCGGATGCGCCATGCGAGCAGTTTGCGTTTCTTCACCTTCCTCGTGATACTCGGAGCGATTACGAGATCGACCAATTGACGCGCTCGTCGCACAGAAAAGAATAACTATAGAACAAGAGCTATCGTGCGAGAGCTGAGCGCTATCGAGCGCGAATGTGTTTAGCCACGCCGACCGTTCCGCTTCTACTGACAAAGGCGAGTGACTATCTAGTGCTGGTAGTGCTTAGTGCTCGCAGAACCTGATGCCTGTTGTTTGTTGCAGTGTCATGCAGTGACACTATCTCGCGCACCTTTAACGCGACAATAGCAACGTTATTCGGGCTAGTATCAATAACAATGAAATACAAATATTGAGAGTTTGATACTTTTGCGAATGCCATTCAGCAACACAAATTACAAGTGGACTCAAGTTTCCGCTTTCTATTTCATTTCTGCCACTACGCATCGATGATTCACGAAGAATACATAGAAGAGAAACAGAAATATGATTATTTCTTGAATGATGATCGAGGGTTTATTGAATTTGTTAGCCAAGCAGTCCCTGGATGGAAAGTTGCTGAAACTAAACTCTCTCAATCTCTTCTTCCATAACTTAGGTATAAAAATTGGTTCTATTATCTTTTTTCTAACACGAAAAATCATTAAACTAATTTTCGCCATTTTTTTGTAAAGTTAGATAAAATTGTCAAGTTAGATAAAATTTTCTATTGCACAGAATATACAGAATATACTCGAATAAAACTACCAGATATCTTCTGTTAATCGCACGAAATTTTTTAATTTTCCCGATATACATTATAGAATAATAGCGAATTAATTTTAGTACAGGACATCCTGTATATCCTGTATTCTTTGGGATAATTTAGGATTTATTTAAATAATAGCTCGGTTTAGGTAAAAAATGCATAGTTTTTCAGTGAAAAACATTTCGCTAAATAAATCATAGTAAATATTACAAACTTGAACCATATATCCATCGTTCTGATATACATTTTTATGTATGTCTGTCATATAGTAAACGTAAAATAAAAAAAATGGAAGAGGCCGGAAGAAAACCAACTGTATATCACATACGCACACGCGACAAATTATAACAACAACCTACGAAATAGATTAATGCTTAAGACAATGATTCGTTGACGCTATAAATTCTATCGCCGAATCGATTCAAAATCATTCCTTCATTTAATACATGAATGTCATGATAGTCATACGAAATTTATGCAAATTACAGAGAGCTGCATGCAAAAAATTTTCCATACAAATACCTTCCTGTAAATACTTGATGGACTACTTCAACCAAATCCTGATTAATTTATCAATATATGCAATACTGAAAATATCCAACATGGATTAACTTTAATCTTGATTTTTTTCTAATTGTTATAAAACTAGAAAAAAAAATAAAAAGTGTTGAATCGAAATTAAACTTACTCTATATTGATAGAAATGGATATAATTCTCAGAACAGGATTAGCAGAACCTAACCTTTGGAGAATTATAGGACCACTTTTGAATATACAGGCTGTCCCGTAAATTTTTGCTAATCGCTTTTGTGTAGATATAGAGGACTAAATTCAGTCGAAAAATCCTCATTTTGCAATTTTCACAATAGTTAAGATATTAGTCAAGATATTAATTATTAAAAATTACTGAATATTTGGCTTGAATAATTTTTTATTCAAATCTATTAACTTTACAAAAAAACTGCAATAGACAAAAATCATTTATTTTCTTCAGAAAAACTCATAGAACTCTACGAATTTTTTCAGAATGTTTTATTAACTTTTTAGTACTGCATTTTCTATTTTTACCAATACGAAAATATATGGTATTAAAAAATTTTGAAAAAATTCTCGAAAAAAAAATAATTTTCTCGGAAAGAAAATAAATAATTTTTATTCTCTCGCTATTTTTTTTTTGTAAAGTTGTATTTGAGTAAAAAATTGAAAATCAATATTCAGCAATCTTTAGTAATTAATATCTCGTTAATCATTGCAAAAATTGCAAAATGGTAGATTTTTCGATTCAGTTTAATCTGCTCTATCTACATATATAAAAGTAAATAAAATTGACAACAACTTACGAAACATCCTATATATACTATTACAACAAATTCAATTGCTATGCGTTACACTAGATCGATATATATATATATATACACTTACATAAAAAAGTGATGAAAACTGCTATAAGTACATAAAAGTTAAATATTTTTTATTTTGCTGTGTAGACTGTACTAGAACTTTTCTTCTCGTTTTTGACAAATTTCAAACATATATCTATTTCACTTGATGTACAAAAAGTATGAATTAGTTTAGCTATAAAAAAAAACATACCTAATATTTTAAATAATAAAGTACATAATAATGTGTAGTGCTATCACATTATTTAACAGAATATACATCTGTTACTGCATTGTCAAAGTTGATTATATTGGATTGTCCGGAAAGTTCGTGCCGATGTTGAAGGAAAATTGAAACGCAGAAAATTTTAATTTAATAAATGTATATTAAAATTTAAATTTTAATCGGCACGAACTTTCCGGACAACCCCATACAAGATATTTAAAAAAGGAGTCATAGACTTTAAGGGTATATAGAACAAGAAAAACGAATTTGTTTACAAATTTCAGATGGATTTCTGAATAAATTTTTGAGGAGCAACTTAGTGTTGTGAGGTTGCGCCTCATCCAAATAGTAAATTTGTCAGACAGATTTGATCGAAATCATTTGTTTATATCTCATTCCGATATTTTATCGTTTAAACAAAAAGATATCTTGGCAATCGTTTGTTTTCACACTTATATTTATTAGAACTTTTCGACTTATTTTTTATTGTTCTATATACCCTTAAAGTCTATGGCCGGTATTCATCGATTTTTACTTCAAGACCGTCTTAAGACTATAAGATTCGACTATGAATACTGGCCTATGACTCCTCTTTGAGGACAACCAATTTATTATACCATTCAAATATTTTATATAGAGTATATATCTTTTTAGAGTATTAATCTATAGCGCAAATGATTGAATTCACTCTTAGATAATGAAAAAGTAGATCTGTGTATAAATATTATAAATAAAAAAAGAAGTAGCAATTTTCGAGTTTGATTTTTTTATTACTCTCATAATAATGTAAAGGAGATATACAAATAATCTTTGAAAACTAATAAATATCCATCCAATTTTAAATGATTCAGCTAAGGGTCATCACCAGCTAAGAGTTATAGGGTTACTGCAAACAATAACATTAACAGTTATCTATCCAAGTAATTTTATTAACATATATTTTATTAATATAAATTATTAGGATAGAATTGTTAATTATTTGTTTGACACATAGAGAAAAAGATGAGAGTAAAACGATGGGTTGTGTGCGCAAGTAAGAAAATGATTTAGCGGTGTAAGAAAACGATTTCACTGCACTGTACAATGCAGTGATTAACCAGGATTTGATCAAAGTTGTCTCGTTTTAAGTGCGATTCGTGTTTAAAGGTTTAAACTCGACACTCACTTTACCGATAGGCTTGTAACAGGCCCTGGCGTCTACCATGTTGTTCATAATCGTATGCTGAACCTCGGTGCTGTCCGTACCGTCGAAAATGTCGAAATTCGACTTTTCCTCTCGCGTGCGTATCATCTCCCAGCTGGTGACGTTGTGTCCCATAAATTGTCCCAATTTGGCAAGGGAATATATCCTCGAGGTTCTATCGCGTTATCGGAATAAAAGTTAAAAAAGTGACTAAGAGTGATCCATCGCCAGCGAGCCGTGCCGGCCGCGGCGTCGCTCCGCGGCGTCGCTTCTTTCCCGCTCACATACGACACATACGACGATATGACGCACACATACGCCTCCCTTTTCTGCACGCGCAACGCGTTTGCCGCTTATTAAATATGTCTTACGGCAAATCAGACACGTGTACGCATACCTTTACGCATCGTTAGAAGCTCAGTCCGACGCATTCGTATTCGTGCGCGTGCAAACGATCCGACGAGTTTCACTTTGACCGCTTTGACGTTCAGCATATAAACAATGCAGCTATGGATCTATGGGTTGACAGGTGCATCATGTAATGCATGTATATAAGTTTAGGTCTGTCGCGTTATTCGCTGTTACTTGCATTGTTTGCTTCATCTTCGCTTTCTCTCTTTTCAAGAACAAATAGGTATATGTTTATTTCAAGTACAAAAATATTTGGGGATTTCATGCAACGCGAACAGACCTAATGGCTACGTTCAGAATTATTATTTGAGTATTCTTGGTGCATCCAGATATTCTTTTATCCTTGTTTAAAGGCCATTCTACATGTTCTACATGGTCATATCGTAGCGTCGGAAGCGTCGTAAGCATCATGCGAATTTAAAATTGAAGCATTGGATTGGCTGAAGCACAAGCTTGTCTACATTTACAATACGACCAATGTAGAATGGCCTTAATATTCGTTAACAATATGAATAAAATGACATCTGGATGCACGGACGACGATTCTGAACGCAGTCCAGCAGAGAAAGCAGTTTTGCAACTGTTGTAAAATTCTTCAATATGATTGCATTTATACCAAAGTGTAAGAATAATAGGTGATTTCACTCATGTAAAATCATTAGCCTAGTTTCCATCGAAGTTTAAATCGGATCAGAATGTAAGGAGCTCCGCACAATAAAAAGAACAGAGAATAAGAATTTCAACCTGTCAGAAACTGTGTATTTCACAATACATGATTTCTGATAAGTTGAAATTCTTATTCTCTGTTCTCTGTTCCCTGTTCCTTATTTTATTGTGCGGAGCCCCTAAGAACCAACGGTCGAGAACCAACTACAGTCGAGTATTTCCCTGTCATTGTAACAGGGGAATGAATACTCATCTGTAGTTGATTCTTACATTCTGATTCGATTTAAACCCTCGATGGAAAATAAGCCTCTGTCTATGAATGTCGCGTCAGGGGAAAAGGCTGCCAACTGTAAACGCTAAATATGGGATAATATTCATTCGTTTTAAAACAGTCTTAAATAATGTCTTAAGATGCTAATATAGTCCTCAAATTGTGACATCTTAAGATTGTACTTAAGACAGTCTTATATGCAAGAATCGACAATGAATGTCTGCCTGTTTCATGTTGTGAAATTGGTACTGAATCTTTCCTTGTTTAATATATTTTATGTTTCTCTTTCTATAAAAAACAAGTATTCGCCTCATGTTTAGTGTTTGATAGTTGGCCTTTTTTTCTAACGCGACATTTATAGAGTATGATCAACGCGATGCTGCAAATGCTTTGAAGCGTTTTTTAATTGATCAGTTTGTAAAATTCTTTCTTCTAATTAGTCCATCAAATGCTTCAAAGCATTTGTAGCGAGATTTTGATCACAACCAGAGACGGCGGAGATTTAGAGAGAGAGAGAGAGAGAGAGAGAGAGAGAGAGAGAGAGAGATGCTTGCAAATTAACAGCGTTTTCAGCCTGACTCGATTTATAACTTGGATTAGAAAATGCTTCACTATTGGTTGACGTTATACGCTCTATCAATAAGAGAGCACAAAACATCATTATTTCAATCTAGGTTAATATAAACTCGGTTGGACCGAAAATGCTAC